GCCAGTCACATAGAGCGTCCGCCCCTCCCTACACACAAAACTCTGCAGCCGGGAGCTAAGTCCATCCCATGCATCCACGAACACACACAGACAGTAACGGATCTCTCTGTGCTTGCTTCACTGTTGCTCACGTTTCTCCAGTACTCCCTAGGTTTTCTTCAGCTCACCTCTTTTTCGGTTGAATATTTAAAGTTACTTTTTTCGTAACGTACGTGGTGCATTAGACAAGACATAGCAGAATACGGCTCGTGCATGAGTCGGTCACTGTCTCCGCTCCTGTCGGGTTTTTAAAAAATTATTTTAACTCTCTCCCCCTCTCTCTTGCTCTCTCTCCCTCTCCATCTCTCTCTCACACGCACATACACACACCTTAATCTAGGGATGCACCGATCAGGTTTTTTGTTGCCGATCACCGATACGATATCAAAGAATGCTGATCACCGATACCGATCACGTGGATTGGCCAGAAATTTTCTACAACATTATAATGAGTGCTACGAACTACATAATCTGGGAATAAAGGAAATGTAACCTAATCTAAAATGGTCTGTATTAAGGTTTTCACGGTGTGAAAATTTAACCTCACGGTTATTGTGACCAAAATTACCACGGTTTTCGGTATTATCGCAGTATTTTTTTTTTACACGTGCTACATGTTCACACAATTAAATAAACCCTGTATGTCAGGAAATATTGTCCTCAGTTTGTGTCTAAATTTTGCCTAAAATTTGTTATTTTGTTATGTTGTTTGTTTATATTTTTCCCCTTTAGTCTTTAAAATGCCAATATTTGCCCATAACTTCTTATTTTATGTCTGTTTGATGTCATCATTTAAAAATATTAGTTCAGATGATACTCAGTACTCAAGTAGCCTTCTAATCAGATACTTTTTTTTACCCTTACTTGAGTAATAAACCCTATATCAGGAAAATATTGTCCTCGGTTTGTGTCCTTCCAGTGAGCTTTGCAGATGTGGGAAAATGTCATCAGGCAGTAATCATTGTTAAATTCATAATTATTCTCAGAGGGAGACCAACTCTTATCTGCCCCTGGGAGCACCGTAATGCATAGCGTCATTTCAACATGGCGGTGTCCGCGACACCGTTTGTATGCAGGTAGCGGCGCTGCGGCTGCTTTATATAGCGACTCGTTGCATTCTCCCTCAACCCAAATCCTCGGATCACGCATTTTAGCTAAAACGCTAACGTTAGCTTGCCTTGCGTTGACTGTAGAGTTGTGGGTGATGGTCACGCAGATGTGTCATGAGATTTGAAGCGTTGCTGCCTTTCACAAACACTTTTTCTGCACGTGCTGCAAACAGGACAGCCGTCTTCTATAAACTCCCTCGGCATTCTTCAAATATCTAAAAGATGCCCGTAATTCCGACTTTGTCTTCTTTGAGGGATAAAAAATGTCCTCCTGAACACTGCCATCTCCTCCTTTGGCCATTATTTCAGCTTTAGCTTCAAGAAAGTTTTGGTTGTAAACAGCAAAGCGTGCATGTGCCGCCGGTCCTGCAACTTCAGCAGATGATACGGTGGCTGGTAAGGGTCACCGCGCCTACACCGCAGCCACGGTGAACCCACCAAGATAATATAGTTTTTTAAAAAACAAGACGGTTATTATTATTGTCAACTTTTTTTTACCGGGGTTTACCTCTACACCGGTTACAGTGACAACCCTACCTGATCGGTCTGCTTTGATCTATTTTGAAAATTCCGATCAAAACCGATAGGGGCGCTATCGGCCGATTACGATCAAATGCCGATCCATCGGTGCATCCCTACCTTAATCAACAATGTTTTGTTTAACTGTGTGTGGGGAAAATGCCAGCAACGTTAGGAAAAAATCTGTTTAATCAAATTAAAATAAAAAATAATTTAAAAAGTTGTGTCTGGTTCTAGCATTTCATATTTCCTAGTTCATACTGCATGAGTTCAGATGCATTAATTCATGCACTTAAATAATAATGTTCTGTTTTTATTGAAAAACTTGGTCTGTAATAGTTCCTTTACTATTGTGTTCAAAAATATTTAATCTCAATTCTGAGACTGCTCTGTAAATAGTTTTCAGATAAACAATACACATAGCAACTTCTGATCAACCCATATCAATTTCAGATTTAAAATAATGTATTGATGTAAACCACATCCACTAATTTCCAAATAATAAATAAGAGATGCATTCATATGTGTATCTCCTTTGATCCACATTAGTGATATTTTCAGCACCAGAACAATGAAGCAAAGAAACAGATTCCTGAGTTTATGTTTGTAATGTTATGCATTAGGTGCATCTGATCTGTTCTATTTTTCTCTGAAAGGAGATCAAATCAGTGCTTCTATAGGTTGTCTCCTCTCTGCACTAGAAATATTTACTTTATTATAATGTTCACTGTAATGCATTTTGATGTTCTTAACAAATAAATTAAATCAAAGATATTGGTCAATAATGCCAAATATGTAAATTTGTGTTTCAGTCATTTTTATACTAGCTTAGAAATACTTCATTAATTCTACTAAGCAGAGGTGTAGAAGGTGTTTAACAGGGCCAGCCTAGTAATGATCTTGGACCAAAATAAAGGGAGCAGAAAGTCAAATAAAGGGGACAAAAGAAGATTTTTTTTCCAGACGCCAAGAAAAATTAAATGCCAAATCCCCTCTGCAAAGCGTTTCACTGAGAGTTTAAAACAAACATTATTCTTGGGCAAATATTGGTGTATGCACCTTTGTTACTAGTTATTAAAATGCAGCAGTTGCTGGATTAGTGCAGTTCAAAGTGGAGTGCATCAAATAAAACAATATTAACATAAAAGGTGAGACGTGTCATAACCCAACCCCCCCCAAGGTAAATTGGGCTGTGGTGGGGGCACCACAGCTGGAAAAAATCCTAGGGGAAACACTGAAACACTAATGATTTATAGTACCCCGCTACATTACAGCATTTCCTCTTCAGTGGAGGAGTTTGGTACCAAGCCAACATGCACACCTTGGCAAGGAAACGTCCTAACCGAGGCAATTTTGAACTTGTTGATGACGGACGAGACACCTGTTTGATGGCACATAACAGATCGCAATTCAAACTAGAAGCTAATGATGGGTAAATTAAAACAGCTGCATCCTGTTGCAATAATCTATGCTTTATGCACGACCCGATTATTCGACTAATCGCCAAAAAACGAGTGGTTAGTCGACTACTTCAATTATTTGTGGCAGCCCTAAACTATGATAAATGCTACTTATTTGGGGAAAGACCAACAAGCACACATTTTAAATTATGCCTCACAAGAAGCAAGCATCTTTTCACTTTGTATTTTATGATTAAACACATCCCTTCCTCTTTGCTAAAGCCAAACATATTGCTTTGTTGAACTAGAAGGCTGTTAACATTCCTCATATCAAGCACGAGAGAAATTAGAAGAAAATGGACCAGCCTGCATGAACAGACTATGATAACAATCCACCAGCTCTTGATGTGCTGACCGTTTGTTCATATGGAGAAAGTATCAGCATGAATGGACTGGGCTAAATACCTTCAGACACCATCAGTCACAGCAGCATTACCTTTGTAATCCATGGAGTTGTGAGATTTATTTTGTGGCTCAAGACAAACAGAAGCTACATTTACTGCTTTGCTCTGGAAGCCATCACTGAGCAGAAATCATCCTGACTAACTCTTTGTGGCACAACTCCGTCTTATCTTTAGCTCAGCCTGCCATCTCTGCCAAACACAGCAAGTGGAAGTGGACCGGCTGGGGGAGGAGAGGAGAGGAACTTCCTTCCAAATCCATTCATGCTTTGGAGGCCACCTGCTGTGCCTGTCAAAGACTGGAGTGAGGCTGGGAAAAAAAACGAGGGAGCCATCCTCAAGCTCTTTTTGTCCCTTTTGCCCACATGCACGGATGAGTGAAATCTCCTTTTGTCAAGAATCCAAACATCTGTTTAAACTACTGGCATACAAGTATGTCTTCTTATGGTTTGGGCACAAAATACAGGAAGCCTGTAATCAGCAGACTGTAATGATGATGTAGAGTCTCATTTTGTGCCATGAGGACACTTTGGGAGTATGCAAGGATCCTCCATTCCTCCAGTTAAACCCAAGTCCCTGAACCTGGGCCAACACCACCTGTTAGTGCTCCTCACTCCCCTACCAGCAGTGCTCTTCACCCCAGCTGTATGTGTGTGTGTGTGTGCGCACAATTGTGTGTGAGAAAGATAGACGAAGACATGAGTGTCCAGCCAACTGGGGTCATGCTTGCAGAGGGATTACGGTGGAGAAGGATTACTGTGCCACTGGAGTATGTGAACAAACCAACAGGCCAATGCATGCAGGCAGCAAAAAAATAAGTGCAGCCATATAATTTCACAGCAACTCACTTGTACTTTACAACTTCTTGCAGACAAATTGTTGAAGGATTAGTTCAAGAAAGAAAGAAAATGTACATTTTCAGAATAAGAGCATGCATGACCTGATTTGGACACGTGTGTATGTGTTTACTTGCACGCTGAGAACGTCCACAGTTGTGTATTGCTTTAAAGGCCTACAACAGCTGAGGCCTGCAGCAGCTGATCGTGTGTGTGTGTGTGTGTGTGTGTGTGTGTGTGTGTGTGTGTGTGTGTGTGTGTGTGTGTGTGTGTGTGTGTGTGTGTGTGTGTGTGAAATGAGTGAAGCAAAGATGAAAGAAGCAGCTGAACTTTTTAGTGAAGCAAAAGTGAACAAAACAAACCTTTAAAGGCAGGGTTTGGTGTTTTGTTAATTATTTTCTTTTACGCCACTAGGTCAGGGTGTTGGGAGTCTCCTCATTGTTGACTGTGGACAAATTGAACTAAATAATCATAAAACTCAAGTCGTGTTTAAGGTCTGAAAAGAAAACGAGCTTTTTCACTAATTAGCAACACAAACAACCTCTCCAGTTGTCTCCCGACTTTCACTAAACACCCCTAGGCCCTATTCATTCACTTCTGTGCGAAAATAAAGAGTTTCGAGGGAGTTTGTTTTACCTTAATTCCAACCTCCGCAGCGTTGTGCGTCGGCTACATGCGTCCTGTGATCTTTTTCCTCTCTCCACCTTTTTATTTCCCGTAGAAACTCCAGATTAGGAGGAAACAGGCGACACACCAGCTCTAACGTGGAATCTCAGTCCTCCTGTCCCATGCCGATGAAGTACTTAACCAGTTCCAACTCGGTCCCTGTGCTCCTTTTAAATACTTTACAACGAAGACACATCAGTAGCTGACGAAGACTGACTAATATAGCCACGTACTTACATGACATAACCTTTTAAACGACAGAAATCTCCGCATGACGGCGGGACAGTGCTGCTCCGAAAGACGCACAATAGCTGGACTAGTATCGCAGAGGAGGCGACGAGGCCAAAGAAGAAGTCGTGCTGCGTTCAGAAACTCAGATTACACTCGAAAAGTCATGTTTGAGTTTGGTGTTTTCATGTCATGATGACAATAAAACTAAATATATCAATTAATTTGTCAGATAAATTTTCTATTTCCTAAAATAAAAATAAACTCTAAACATGTATGCATTTTTTTTATATTTTTGTCTTCTTCTTTACTGGTATTATATAATTTCCGATAGTACCTGAAGGTTACACATCAACTGAATGTGCCCAATATGGCTGCCATTCTTGTCCCTCACAGCGATTATAATCCTCATTCTGGCTCTAAAATACACCAATAAAAGTCATTAGAGTTTATTTTATGGCTTACTAGCATATGCATTTAAAGTAAAAAAAAAAAACCTATTTAAAACTACCTGAGAGGTTAGAACACGCTTCTTAACCTTTGAACCCTAAATAGATACTTGGCGCCCCCTAGTATTTGTTTTGTTTTTTTGCACTGATTTATTTAGAACTAATCTTCAAAAAAGAAAAAATCCCTGATAGAATTTAGCGAACATTGTCTGCAGCAACATTGTGTTTCTATTGTTTATTCCTTGTTCACATTTGAAATGAAAAAGAAAAACTATTTGCTGGCTGTTTTAAAGTTGTTTAGGTACTTTGTCGAAAGCCTGTAATAATATAGATTTTCGATACATACCTATATATATATATATATATATATATATATATATATATATATATATATATATATATAAGTTAAACAAAGAGTTTAACTTATTTGCTGTATGCAGGCCTATGCAGGTTCAACATGCATATACCTAATATAAAAGTTGCTGAGATGTTTGTGAAGGGATTTGCTGACCCCTACTGACTATGACTGCAATGTAGCCAGAAACCATTCATAAATGCCTCCTAGAGAAACACTGACTGAAATAAATAGACAAAACATTATGATGCACACTTTCACCCATCCTTTTAGCACAACAATGATAATCTGGATTATTGTCACTTGCAAAAACAACAAAAAATAATGTGTATTTTATAACATTTAAGTGACACAATTTCCAAATTAAGAACCTGATAGTTTGGGTGGTTACATAGTCAAAGCCTTAGGTCATAAACTGTTAAACAGCTGAACTGTAGAGTCAAGTCACGTGTCTTGCAACAATTTTAAGGTTTTAGACTTGACTTGAAGAGACACACGTGATTTGAGTCAGATTTATACACCAGTTGCTTGTGACTTCACTTGAGTTTCTTTAAAAAACTTGCCCTCTTCTAGCCTAGTGAACTAGACCAAATTCTTGCTTTGCAAAGTTTGGTCTAGACATGCTCCATTGGAACCTCAGCAGCTCCTACCAGGACTCTGGCTAGCCAATCACAACTCTCTAGAGGGGTTTCAAACACATAAAGAGCTGTGATTGGTCCATAATGGTGGGCCAATCATAGTGCTCTATCTGCTTAGTGAACAAATCACAGAGCTTTATCCGCTTTGTGGGCCAATCAGGGCACTCTATATGCCTGGTGGGTGGGATGATGCAACAGAGTGAAACAAGAGTATGTCACATTCATTGTCCAGTGGAATGCGGAGATCATTTGAAAGACAACGGTAGAACCCGCCCCACAACCGAGAGCCGTCAATGGAGCATGGCCAGACTAAATAATACATTTATTTAGTCTGGCTTGCCAGGCTAGCCCTGTTCTACAGAGTGAACACATAACTTTATTGTTTTTTTTTATTAATAAATAATCAGCTCTCTTTTTCTGATCATATTCATTGACTTTTCATAGTCACTGGTCTTGCAAAATTAATGTAATAAGCCATAATTTCTGAAAACTATTTTTTGACTCATTAACAAAAAAATCTGCTCGGATGAAATCAAAAATTGAGGACTTGGACTTAATCCTTGGGACTTGATTGAGTGGAAATACTTGAGGCTTATTTATGACTTGGACATAATTTCATAAGCACCAATTTACTCTCCAGCAGATTAAACGTTTGAAACTTGATAGCTGATAAAAATCAGAAGGTCCTTTTCTTTTGACAAGTAGACTCAAAACATATAGACTTTGCTTTATTGGGGCCCCCTACTTTTATTTTATTCACTTTTAACCAGTATTTGGATGTAGCGAGTGCGTATACAGTTGTCTCCAATAGTTTTTCAAGTAGTTTCCAGCAGGGCCTGAGGATCACATCCTTGAAGAATTAAAAAGGTTCTTAGAACTGATACCTACCAGGAATGTTTTTCAAATTTTCTATTCCAGTAATCATTATTGTTGAATAGTTGGGCTCACTGTTGATAAATGGGCTCACTCTAATTTTTTTATTTTATTCAGAAAACAGTCTCAGCTCCTCCACACCCCTAATTATGCTTCTTATTCTCCCCATGAGATGACATTTCAATGATACACATTTTATGTCTTCTGCTGCACTCATCTGTGATGCTTGCTGGTATAAAGTTTAATCTGGGCTTTCATCTTTTCTCATAAATCAATAAAGTATCTCAATTCCAGCATTTTATGAGTTCTTTGAAATATATAATTGGGTCTAGATCAATTACAATTATATTTATTATATGTATGTGGAGTTGCAAATTGTATTTTTGATGTTTGCTGAGAATTACTTAACCTTGGTTTTGCCTCTATCACATAAAGTGACTGTATAGAGGTTAACGATGCTCTAATAGAAATATATTTACCTTTTAACTAATTGGTATTTAATAAATTGTATTAAACCTCCCTGGATTGTGTCCAAAAATGAGTTGACAATGGTTGTTTCTTAACTGGATGAATCTGAAAATACTTAACTGAACTAATTTAAGTGTTGTAATTGGATCAACGCCTAATATATCGGCTAACTTCAGGAGACTTTTTTGTGATATGGTAAAATAAATAAGTAGAATTAAGAATAAACTTTTATTATCCCGCGAATGAGAAATGTAAGTGTTACACAGCAAATTCTAAAGTGTTAATTTTCTGGTGTTGGTTCAATTTAACACCAAGAATAGTTAATTTAACACTAAAACGAGTTATATAGTTGACATGGAACACTGACATGAGAGTTAAAAACCAGTATTAAAAAGGAGTGTTTCCTTATCAACTCTGTAGGTGTCATTTTGGACAAAATGACTCCTGAAAATCTAACTCTGAACTCGCACAGCACCTGTAACCTGCAGAGTCCATTTGTAGACTCCACTCTTTTATTCTAAAAGTTGGACCGGTAGCGGCGGATTGGCTGCAGAGAGTTGCAGGAGCTGCAGTGGGCAAGGTGCATTGTGGGTAGTCATGTTTTAGTTAGTTTGTTCTATTTTTGGGTGTTTATGCATGTTTATTTTCGGGAGTTGTGTTGTACTTAGTTAGTACTTTGTTCACTGTTGCAAATGTGGTTTTGCTTGTTATGTCATGTTTGTACCTGTAAGTGAGGAGGCCAGTCAAAAGAATGGGACTGCTCTGAGTTCCACTATCACAGTAAAAATGTGGTGTATAGTTCATACTACGTGCAAAACTTTGTGTTCCTCTCCCACTGACTGATTGCAGTCATGAGTAAACAAGGCATGAGAAAGCCAATGTTCGTTAGTGTAGCTAGCAGCACCCTGGTGTGGCACACTGAAAGTAATTCATTAACTCATGGTGGTGATTGATGACTTGAGTGTAAACTGACTCTGAAAATTAACACTGGTTGTAGTGTACACAGCAAACCCAGCATGCTCAAAATAACTCTTATCAGAGTTGATTCCAACACTTTTAAAGTGTCTATATGGGTCCACCCCAGTAAGTGTTGATTTAACACTTTTTGGAGAGTTGGTACTTTAACTTTGATTTAGTGTTAAATATTTAACTATAGAGTTGGTTTTTAACACTAAATCAGAGTTAAAGTACCAACCCTCCAAAAAGTGTTAAATCAACACTTACTGGGGTGGACCCATATAGACACTTTAAAAGTGTTGAAATCAACTCTGATAGATATTTTGAGCATGCTGATTGCTGTGTACACAACTTCTATAGCAAAGGAAACTAGAAGAAGACTCAGAGTAGCCGTATAGACATAAGCAACATAATAAAATCACAGAGAAACTGAATTAAATGTGTAACTAAATCCTAAATGTGAATAACCAATAATCTTATGTTTTTAAAGGATCGTTTCAATTCTTTCTCAACTTGAGACGTTTATAAACACAAAAACTGACCTTCTGAATCAATATTAACTCCGTTTATTAAGACAGTAAATCCAACTGGATATAATTTTTACAACTGAGCTTTATTGTAAACAATAAATATTTACAGAGCTGCCAGAGATGATTTGGGGCTGTTCCTTTTCTCTCATGACATTGTGCGCCCTGAAGCTGAATGAACCTCCTGTTCCACTTCCCCCCTCATGGTGGCGCCGTTCGCTCAGGCTGCTGAGCCTCTTCACCCGCCTGCTGCACAAGGCCTCCCAGCATTTACAGTCTGCTCCTGTTCAGACATGTGGGGCTTAAGTTGTGCGCTTCACAGGACTCACGTCCCGTGAAAAGAAGTTGTGTATAGGCCGTTTCTGGGCGTGGCCGGCTCCGTTCGTCACATTGCGTCAGCCCAAACAAAACGCTGACGTGAGTCCCTCTCCTTAACGGTAAAACTCTTCAATTAGTTGGTGAGCTATGGGTGTGAATCAGAGATGGATGGTGTAGAATGAAACAAACCCATTTTGCTGATCTCATGGTGATCAGACCGAGACATTCATTTGACTCATCGGCTTTTAATTCAGTCGCGTGTCCTTCCGAGAAAAACAATCAACTTTCTAGAATAATAGTTATTTAAAAAAAGTAATAATTCAGTTTGTTACTGCTTAAAATTAATGATTGAAAATATCATTGAGCTTCAGTAGGTTTAATGCGTGCTGCATTGCACAGAAAAGACAAGATTGGGCTCAACATGATTTTAGTTAACTGACGCACAATCAACAGTTTAGGCGCAAAAGCCCTCAAAAATATTCGTTTTTACGCACATGATAATGCATTTCAGCGTCACATATCGAGAAGATTTAAGTAAAAATGTCAACCCCAAATGTTTGAATTAAAGCGACATAAGATGTAAACCAGCATCCTGCTGCGTCACCAGCTCTTGATCTGATTATGTGTCTAGTTCATTTCAGCAATCTAACGGATAGGTCGAGACCTCGATGCTTTACTGTGCGTCCTTTACCCCCCCCCCCCCTAATACGATGAGTAATTATTGTAAATGATGAAAAACGCGTCTGTGAAGTAGGGGAAGTCGCAATTTGAGAGGATTGATTTCAGCACCGGACAGCTCCCGCGTCTCCCCAGAGGCCTTGAACTTGGCCGGAAGAAGTCCGAGTCACCCCATCGACAACATACAGCCAGTCACGTGAAAGCAGCCACAGAAAAGGACTATTTGACGGTGTTAAATGACTGACTGAAAAAAAAAACTCAAGTGGACAGTGTAACGTCTGAAACTGTTGGAGCGCCTCTTTTTTCTTTAAATAAAACAAATGAAGAAGCAAAGTTTTAAAGTAAACTTCAATATTTGGAGAGAGGATGGGGTGGGGGTCGGATGGATGCATAGAAGAGGAAGGAACTGTACTATTATATTCCGGGAGGAAGACTTGATGACGTCTATAGCATCCTTAACGTGACTGGAGGGGGAAGGAGGAGGAGAGGAGGAGGAGGGTGAAGGCTTACCGTCCGCGGATAAAAGTCCTCGGCAATCACAGCTCAGGACAAGAGTTTGGAGCAGCGATATGTAGACGAACCACTCAGCGCACTTTTTCCACCAAGTTTTTCCTTTGAGGCTTTTTAATTGTGTCTAAAACAAAGTGAGCCGGGTTGCGCTGAGGGGAACATAAAAGAGGCGACGGAGGCGCTCCAGCCAGGGAACAAGTGCTGTGAGAAAGAAACGCTTCAAAAGCACAGCCGCGCCCGGATCTCACCCTACAGCACAGCGCGCGCTCTGCGTTCCTCTAGGTAGGTGTCTCCTACTCTTTTCCTTTTTATACGGATCACCTAAAATCGGATAATTCGATGCTGGAGAGCGAAATCTTTGGTGGAAACATTTTTTTTAGTTGTTTGTAAGTTTCGAAATGAATTTCGTGCAGAAAAGCATGACACTTTAATACAATTTATTGGATTTTTTAAAGAACGGAACAGTGCTTGGTTTAATTTGTTTGTTTTTAATTAAGGAAAAAGTCGAATTTTGCCGCCCTACAGTGAGACTAATATTTGTGTCTGTTTTATTTTCCAACAGCATGGCCAGTTCAAGTAAAGCGACTTTAATCTTGCTCATCTATGGGATCTTAATGCACTACAGCGTCTTCTGCACACCTATCGGACTAAATTACCCTAGGTTGGTGCTTTAAAAATCTTTCTTTTCATTTTTGGTTCACATAAAACTCAGTTTGATGCTTAGATCCTTGAGCTTAATGATTTTAGACAAGTGCGTAAAATTACGTGAAATATGCGCACAATTAAAAAAAGGCGCATGCCTAAAAAAAGGCACGTCCAGTCATTTGAAACCACACAATAGTTGTATGGAAAATGCAAACGGAAATTACGTGCCTGCATCTGTCCGCTGGGACGGTTCGCAGAACTCCCCTTATTAAAAATGAGAGCAGTCAGTGTAGTGGATAGCCCTTGGGATGACGATGGATAGCGTCACCAAGGAGAGGCGAGGCAAAACGAACAGGATCACTCTATCTATATAAGATTTATTCGTTGTTTCCCCTTCTGCTCCAAAAACACATTCAGAACTTTTGGGCGTGGTTCATACCGATTTAAGAAAAACATTAGCAGACATTTTAAAGCCCGGTTTGAATGGATTTTATGGCTCCGCGCGACTAAACGTGTGCAGGTTCACACCTATTGTTTCGAATTTTAAATTATTAATGAGGCTGGCGCTTTAGTGCGCAGATCGGCAGCAGCAAGTTGGTTTTATAAACTGATTTTCTAGATTTGAATGGAATATTTACAGATAAAAACACACGTTTATTATTTTTATGACACTATTTCAAGCAGATTTGATTTCTGGTCTTTTGTTTGAGGCCTTTTTTGTTTCCCTTTCAAAATAAAATACCTTGGATTCTTTTTATGCGCATAATTTGTGGTTTCATCCCTTTTTTGCGCAGACTTGAAAACGACGCCTTCGATGAGGACGGGAATTCACTGTCCGACATGGCTTTTGACAGCGACCGAATTGCTATACGAAGCCCTCCGTCCCTAAACGACGACGCATACACTCTATACTACCCACCAGAGAAGAGGTATAGCTGCTGGATCACAGCCTACGTCTTGAGCTGCTTTCATTTTGATGCCATTATTCTTTGGGGCTGATAATGTTTGCTGGCTTTGTTTCTCCCAGAGTTCTTCGTGTTATTTGTGTTATTTTCAACCAGAGTAGCCTGAAATGTTCGTTAGATTAGATAACAGGCGCGGAAACGCCCGGTGCGCATTTGGAAGCTGCGTATGGGTGGGTGGGGACATTTTAGGCTACTTTGGATCATTCTGTCTGCACCTTTTTTTTCTCTTTCTTTTTTTATTTCAACTCTGATGATCTATGTGTTTTGGCGCTTTATCATCTCAGACCAGAAAGGCATGCTGAGGAAGACTTAGATAGAGCCTTGAGGGAGATCCTGGGTCAGTTAACAGCGAGACATTATCTGCATTCTCTGATGACTGTTCGTGCAGGGTAAGGGCATTTCTCTCAGCGTTCACCTGCACTCCTCCTCCTCACTCACTCTCTCCCCCTTTTCCTTTTTTAAACCATGCATCTATACGTTGCACGACTTCGGGCTGCTGCATGCACTTGTGTGTCTTCTTATGTGTTCATTTTAATTTTCCTCATTTATCCGATAATTACAAAGTCTCCATTTCTCCTTTTTGGCTGTGTGGTCCTATCATTTGGAATAAAGAGACTAAAGCATACGCAAATATGATTATTTGTTAGACGTAGCTGTTAAATTAATCATGCGTCAGAATATCCAACAAGCTCCAAATGAATAATGCACAACTTTTCTTAAATGCGCAAAGCAGTTTCCTTTCATTCTGTTTTGTTTGCTTAAATTTTTTTCCAATAAGGAAATTACAAAAAAAGCCTCTGAACACATTAATGATAAGGAAACTTTCATCTTCTATTAACAAAAATATAATAAAAAACACACATTTGAAATAAGATACAACAAAAAGGGTTTGTGCGTAAAATAAGCTGAATTTTCATCTTTATTATTTATGTTCTTGTTTGTTTTGCAGTGAAGACAACGACATGGAGGAAGAGTCAGAGCCCTTATCCAAAAGACATTCAGATGGGATCTTCACTGACAGCTACAGTCGCTATAGAAAGCAGATGGCCGTGCAGAAATACCTGGCAGCGGTTCTGGGTAGAAGGTACAGACAGAGAGTTAGGAACAAAGGACGCCGGTTCGCCTATTTGTAGCGCTGTTATAGCGCCCAAACTGCCCCCTGTGTATATACATCCAGTCGTTAAATCAGAGTCCTTCAGATATATCTGACCAACCAGTGGATTGCGCCTGTGTTCTCTCAACATGTATTTATTTATGTATGAAGTAAAGCCATTAAAATGAATATTTTATTAATAATATCGTTTTTTTTTCTTTTTGTACGAAAGCACTTGATACCGCAGTGGTGGACCAATATTTTATTTTCATGTTAAGATGTTGAAAACAGCAAAAAAAAAAAAAAAAAAAAAAAAAAAAGGTGGTTACGATAGAAGAAAAAAAATAGATGTGCACCTTTAACATGCTTGAAATCTTCAAAGGTCATCTACATTATGCAGAAAATAAATAGATTTTCAAAAGACAATCAAAGTATTGAATGTTATACTTATTTTTGTAACCAACGTTCTATTTTTTTAAGTGTTGTTTAATTATGTTATTTTTTTCCAAACAGGCCCAAAGAAGCAGTGAGCATGCTATGTGAGGCATATCATAAATGATAGATGTTGTCCTTGCTCCCTTTAATGGGAGCCCTGTGGATTTGGACAGTTGGCTGCCCCTCCAAGGAGGCATGGCTTTTGTTGGACAGCCTCTTATTAGAGAGATAACTGAACGACTTAGTGGTTTTTCATTTAATTTTTACAAATAGAAATGTCAATTCCAGTCTTTGGAGGGGGGTTAATGCCTTTATTGATGGTGAAGTTGCTAACCGTATGCAGAAAACACTGCCTGCTCACTTGCCTCAAACTCATTTCCAGTAGGAGATAAATTACACTCAACAGGACTGTGTAAAGAATGTTTAACGCGTGTTTGTGTGGTACAAAACGTACACAGCACACACTCATCTCAATGTCAGCCAGATTATTTAGGTGGAATGGGGTTCAGGTGTTGATTGTATTCAGGCATATATTCAAGGAAGACGATAAGATACAAAAACAGGAGAACCTGAAAGGTAGCGCCAGAGTTCTAGTGGAGAATATTTACCTTTATATGGTGCATGTGAAAACTGACACTGTGCTCATTTTGTTGGCTTACATTCAGCATGTTGTTGCGCTTCTCTTTGTGAGGCAGGCTGTGTCCAAGCCTAATTCAGCACCTCTCACTCCCCCTCAGATGCTTTGTGACAAAAAATGTGAAGAGAGGGCTAGAGGTGGTATATACTGGTACTGCACTGACATGTTGCTCTTCATTACCTCCCTTGCCACTGCTATTGTGGATATGGGATCCTAGTTTTGCTTCTTTGCTGAGATTTTTTTAATCCTCAAAGCAGATTTTGAGATCCATTTAAATGGGCATGCTGAATAGTTCATTTGGCGGTGTTGTTGTTGAGCTGTTAGGATGAAGCTGATCCGTGTCGTACTGTGAGGATGAGAGAGGTGAGATGGAAGAGGAAGCCAGCGACAGCACTCACAAGCCAGTAGATGCAGGCGAATGTGGGAACACAAACAAGAAATGACGAGAGTGGGTCGGCATCGCCTCAGTGAGATCAGGGTCAATGAGTCTGATAAGAAGAATATCAGACGTTGAATTCCCCTCACAGAGTCCCAACGGGAGGACGTTAACAAGACCACTCTTGAGGTTTCCCTCTCAACTGAATGATATGCCCTCCCACCAGAAGAAGGAGATCCCCTCTGACTTTTACTACAGATTTTATTTTATGTTTTCATTCAACATTATGCAAATGCAGCTTTCTGCACCCCCCCACTGGGTAGAAACCTCCTACAATCTGGCTTTCCTTTCCCCACATGCCTTTTCTGTGAGTGTGCCGCGTTCCTGTCTGATCTAATGTTTACGTGTGAGGATGAGTGACTGAATGCAAAATGTGGAGGTGGAAACAGCTTTTCTGGCTTTGGTGCCTTGCTTTGATGTGAGAAATTATATATATATAAATATAAATGTATAAAAAGAAGCTAAAAAAATATAAAATTCGCCACAAGTGACAGATGGCAATTTTAGTGGCCCTAAGATGCTGCAGTCCATTAGCTTACATTGAAACTTCCTTTTACTATGTTTAGCTGCTCAGCTTAGTCCGCCCCAATAGTAGTAGTAGAATTAGGCTTTCGTTTTGTAGCATGGCCATTGACTTTATTTTTTTGAGTGACAAAACGTAGAGAAGAATAGAGCGTACGTGTTGGTGGAGCAGAAGATGTGTGTGTGTGTGTGTGTGCATGAGTTTCTGTGTCTGTGAGAGTTGTGAACAATGTTCTTGTTAAATATGTAGTGTTGTTGATTATTTTCATATTGGTCGGTCCTTTATTATTCAGAAAACAACCTCTATATATTATTTAAAAATCTGTGCATCACCATCTAGAACAAAAAAAGGGTTTCGGAGCATAAAGGAGATGTTTAAATCGTAGAAAATGCCTGTTGTTGATAGCTCTGACAGCGCCAAAACGCCTTACTTCATTGTGTAATCTCTTATCTATTTGAAAACAATGTGTTTTAAAAGTGAACCTCAGTGCAAGTGGCATCATTAGACACACAGGAGTCCTTATTAAATGGGGTTTTACGTTTCTCACTGTCATGAAAGTGTTGTAAGATTTGTATGAATAAATTTTTGTAAACAAGAACATTTTTTTCCCAATCAGTGTCTAATCTTTGACATGCATCATTTCTTAGGGGAAGTGCAGCATCCACAAACAGCTCTCGCACATTCAAAAAAATAAAAAATAAATAAATACATTTAAAAAACTCTCCCTTTCCTGCAGGATCCATTACAATAAAGAGCCCATATCTTTTAAAGTGGAGCAAACATGACTCCACTTTTTTTTGGAGTTGATCTGAACAAACACAAACTTCCACCTATCACAGTTAAAGCCTGAGGTCAAGATGGATTTAATTCTCTAAAGCCAGATAAACTTACATAAACGTCAAAAACTCGGGATGGAACTACATTCAGGATCAAAAACAAAACAAATCACTTTTTAAATCATCAACCACCAAACACATACTTATTGCATTTGAGCCATTTAAGAGGCTCTCTTGAAAGAAAAAAGTTAAATCTTACAAATACTGTAAATATGCAATAAACTCACACATACAAACTGAAACATCTCCGAGAATCTCACCAAGTCAAGCTTCGACTCTGGACTGAGCAGCGGAGCTCAGAGAAAGGGAGTGCTTCATCTCCTCATCATCCATACCCGACCTTGGAGAAGCAGCTGCGTCCCACGGGATCAGAGGAGGAGGATGGGTGTGGCAACGAACTGCATGTGATCAGATCCTCATCAACCAGCAGGACCGTGTGTGTGTGTGTGTGTGTGCACATTCACCAGAGCTCAACTAACCCAATCAGAGAAATGTTGCATGGCAACGGCCCACAAAGGGACACAGTTATGCATGTGTCAAGTGTGATAGCTTGTGTGGAAACGGAACAATGTGGAGGAAGGATGCTGTTGTCTGTTGGTCTGCTTTGCACATCCAGACCTCAGACACTTTCTGCGATGGAATTTGTGCCAACACAACAGATGATTCACACGATCATCTCTCAAAAAATATTATGACTGTTGAATTATAGCGAGAAGCCGCCACACATAAACACACACTTATGGACATATAGTTGCGTCCCTGAGGATGCTGATTCATGGTTGCTGCTGAGAAAAGGCTGACAGATCGTCAAGTATCAGAACCCCCCCCCCCCCCCCCAAGCCTCTTCTTTAGCTGTCATAAAGAAAAGCAGGCGTAGCCGTCCTGACAAGCGGAAATCTCCTGCGACGTTTCGGTTCCAGCAAAAGATGTGAGCAAATGAGTTAGGATGAATCGAAAACAAACAAGAAATGTATTCACAAATAAATTGGATTTCGTATGCAAACTCTCAAACGCCCACAAGTGGATATTGAGACAAATGCTCCAATTTGTTGCAACAGCAGTGGACTGCACATGAGGGGCCACCCTCAAACCAATTTGTACATAATGTACATTAATGCCTGAATCAATAAAAGATGACCCCTCCCTCCTCTTAGCGCCACATCACTTCTCCTCTGTGGCAAGCTTCACTGCACGTCTCATCTTCCCATCAGCATCTTTGAGCTGTTTTGCAATTGATCTCTTTTTCTTCTCTCCTTGTGGGTGAAAAGCTCCCCAAATTCTAGTCTCCAGCTTTGAGCGATACACAGGTCTTAATAACCTTCCCTCTGCCTCCAGACACGTCTTAATCATCTGTAAAGTGTTGGACGGGGGGAAGGGGAGGTTGTGTTTGGAGCTTTTCCAGTGAGGATTCCCTCATCCGCCTCCAGCAGCACAGCCACACCCACCATTCTTTGCTGCTATGTTTTGGATAAAGCCAGGCGTGAGTGAGGAATATGAATCCATTGTTTGTCGCCCCCCCCCCCCCACCCCTCCTTTCTCCTCCCAAGTGTCCCTCTTTTTGCACTTCAGGGTTAGAATGCAGAACTCATAAAAGAGGCTGGCAAACAGCAATGATGCAATCACCATCCCACCCATCTCCAGTGTGTCACCTCATGAATCATTCAGTGGTCAGGTGTGTGTTTTATGTTTTGTTGGGTGTGTGTGGGGGGGGGGGGGGGGTGTAGTTCTCTCTGCAATAAAAGGTTTGATTGTAGAAGCCATGAACCTTCAATCTCCCTCTCTCCCAAATCCCATCTCATGGCGGTGCTGTCACACGCAGCTGTGAGCGGGAGGTATTCTGTGCTGAACAGCAGCCCCCCCCCCCCCGGGGAGCAATGTAAGACACAGGGAAAGAGACAGAAAAGACAGGGAACCTGGAGAAAATAAAAGACGTGGGCGAAGGGTTGCCAGCATGGACCACTGATCAAGAGATGCTTCTGTCTTAGAGGGAAACACTCTACCTACTGTGCTTGGTTAACCGTCCCTGACCACAACAATCCCTCATTTATTATAAAGATTTTTGGCCAGGAAGAAAAACAAATAAACACTTTCTCAGCTGCTGTACTTTAAGGCCCTGTCCACACGTAGCCGGGGATCTGCCAAAACGTAGATATTTTTCTACATTTTGGCCTGTCATCCACACGAAAACTGAGTTTTTTCACATGAAAACGGATCTTTTTAAAAACTCCGGCCAAAGTGAAGATCTGCGTTTTCTCCGTTTTGGGTGTCTGCGTGTGGACAGACAAAACCGGAGTTTTAAGGTCCGCAACGTCACTTTCCACAACAAAAAAATGCTGACATCACGTGTGTGACCTGTGTTTACACTAGCCGACAGCATGGATGCCCTCAGAGCTCCGCTCGCTTTATCAATTGTCCAAGCGCTTTTTGCTTGTTTGCTTTTGCAAGTGGAATTACTGTTCCTTGCGGAAGACCACAGACGAAGGACGAGGTTAAGAACGGGGGAAGTACTGCCGCCTACAGGTCTGGCATGTCCTTAACAACGTATTTATCCGGGTATGTGTGGACAGTTTTTTTTTAAAACGAGGTGGTGTGGATGCAAGTTTTTGGAGGGGCGGATATTCGTTTTTAAAAAACCCCGGCTACGTGTGGACTAGGCCTTAGTCTCTCGCCCTCTCTCTCAGCTGCAGAGAAAAGAAGGGTGAGCTAGAAATGTTGATCAAATGAAAATGAGGGGTCGTTACTCGTAGAACTCAACTCAAACTGGTGTTTGTTGATGTCAGTAAACGAGTTGGAGCAACCTCTGACTGCGTTTATATCAGAAAACCTGGATTCAAATATTGCACGGGAACAGGAAGTGATCCGGACGGATCCTAATTCATTTCCTGGTCTTGATCGCTAGACTTTATGGTTCAATGTTTAAATGCGTTTTCAATCATCTACATTTATTAGTACCAATGCCGGCTCGCTAATTAGTTTTTGTCATTTTATTTTTAAATGAAAGTCAAGAGATTATATTTCATGTGATCTAATCTCACTTTTATATGGTTCATGCTGCTTATAATCTGGATCTCTTCTCAAGGCTGAAACACAATTTTTATTCTTAGTTATCTCCATAGTGGTAATCGGAAGCAATTAACACAACATTGTTATCACTAACAAGCATATTTTTGTAAATCCAAGCAGGATTTCCTTACAGAGTGAGATTAACAAATAAACAGAACAAACATTTTTTGTTGTCATTTCTAATTTTTGACTTCTGGAGGTCTCCTTCTGGTCTTAGACCAAGGGTCACCAAGCTTTTTGAAGCAGAGAGCTATTTTATGGTTACGGAGCCAAACGAAGGGTGACTGATGTGATCATGATGTTCCATCAAACCCACAAAACTAACCCTAGAATAGATTGGTTCATGTATAAACATTTATCACCTAAAATTACAAAAAATACGTGAGGATTACAAGACATTTCTGGCTCAAACACATCTTTAGAACAGGTAAAGTTTCTGAAAGTCACAAATGAAATAAAAAAATTCAGCAAAGACCTGAAATGAGACCTGTGAGATGTATCACTTTGAGCTTGTCATGTTGGGTTGAAGTCTTTTTACCCACATGAAAGAATCACACATGGAGAGAGGCAAGTAAAAATACAAATGCTTTATTATAAAGAAAATTAACGAGATCGAAGGGCGCTGATCCAAACTGGGCCGGGGGGTGGGGGTTAACTCCGATTCTAAAACAAAAGATAACGAGATGAATACAGTAAACTGAGAACCAGGAAAACACAGCAGGATCATGGTGGAGTCTTACGGTACGGAGCGGGGGTTTGAGCAGGAGAGGGAGGCAAGTCAGGTCTGAGCTGGAGATTGTCTGGTGGAGAGGAGAAGCAGGTAGAAGTGTACGATCCAGGGGAGGTGAGCGGTAGAGAGCAGGAGGCCAGAGGAGCTGAGCGACGTTGAAAGTATGGCACACTTCAGGCAGACAGGAACCGAGGCTAGAATCCAGGGTTGGTACTGGAGCAGACAAGGAAGATTTAAATGAGCACAGGAATACACACTATTCAGAGTTCTCAAACAGGAACAGAACGTGGCGAGGCTAGAGTACCCAACAACAGAGTGTCAACTGGTACTGAAGTGTGGCAACACCGCTCCTTAAATCCTCTGGCCCTGCTGATGGAAATCAGCTGCAGCTGTGACTCTCCGACACACCGACCTGCAAAACACTTAGGAGCACAGCCAACAGAGAAAAAGGCACAACCATGACAGAGCTCTGAAGGTCTGAAACCATCTTTGTTCCAAGGTTTTAACCTTCAGATTTCAAATAACAATTAAATAAATAACTCTTTACAAGAACATCTGGGTCATTGGAAGCAACGTCCTATCAAAAGGGAATACGTGGACATTTGCATGATGTTGCATTCCCGCAAAAAATGATAAAAAAAATAAATCACCTACCCGCAGATCCACAGGTGACCTGAAAAAATGGAGCTTAACAATTCTGTAAAGGTGATCAGGTGTTTATTTAACAATAACATTTATTTTAGTTATAAATGTTTTTATTTTATTTGGTCACCATTCAAGTCAAACTCCAGTGCCCCCCCCCCCCCCCCCCAAATACATCCTCAGATGTCCAGTTTCCTTTTGACAATGGTATCTAAAAATGAAGTTTACTCATGTAATCATTACATTTGCAGTGGTATCTAGAATGAATGAATGCCTTGTAAGTCATACTCTGGGTGATAAAAAGCTCACATGCACCTGCTTCAGGAA